GGGGCGGGGAATGACGTCCGGCTCCGTGCGGGGCTGCGTTTGGTAAACCCTCCTCCTCCAGCGCTGCCGCGCAGAACAGGGCGCTCGGGGGTGAAGGAGCGTCAGCCACGGCTCTTGGGGTTGCACGACAGAACCGTTGCTCCTGCAGCGCCATCCCTGGTCTGATTGCCTTTCCATTCCTTCTAGATGATCCTGAGCTTTGGGACATTTCCTTGGATACCATTGATCTTAAGCTAGCGGGTCACGCGGCGGCAGAGCCAGCAGCTGAACGCCGGACACCCAGAACACCCCGCGGGTGTCAGCAGGCGACTGCGCGTAGCGGGACGCCTCACCGAGCGAATCACCAGAAAGCTTCTGCCCGACAGGCGCAGCCGCAGCCTCCTGCGACGACCGCGACCAGCAGCAGCCGCGCCAACCTCCACACCCCAGGTACGTGCTACTGAAAACGGCCGAGTCCGGCCCGAACAGCGGCTCATGGCTTGGCAAGTGGCGCTGTTGGATGAGCGGCTCGGAGTGGGAGAGGCGTTCCTCTCCCCCGGGGACCCGGCTGCAGCCGCGGGCTGGGAGAACCAGCTGTTTTTTCCTTCTGCCTGCCCCAGCAGGGCAGGGCTGGAAGGAGCTGAGCACCTTTGGAAGCAGAATAAAGCTCTAAGGAACTTCCCTTTCTGTCTCCCTGTCTGGCAGAGCGCAGCCCCCACAAGAGAAGTCAAAACTGGAAGAGGAGGCGGCTAGAACCTACGTAAGACGCCCGGCGCTACCGCTACCCCCGTGGTCACGGCTGTCCCTGCGCGGAGGGGCGGAACACAGCCGCCCAGGACTTGAGGTGCTTTAGGGTTCCCACGTTTCAGATGCCTTTTTTCTCTCTGCACGAGCGCTCGTCTCCTGCGGCACCAGACTGGGGCCGGTACTACGAGCAGTTCTTAACTTGGCTGAAGCGGCAGCAGCATCAACCTCGAAAACGAGGTGGGGTTCGTCGCCGCGCGTCAGCATGGAGAAAGCGGCGGGTGAACGGGGAGGGAGCATTTGCGCCAACCCCTCGTAGTACGGACGGGAGCTGCAGGGCTGGTTTTAAAGAAGCTTTCGACCCCTTTTTCCCATATAAAAATAAACACGGAATTTGCAAAACAAACCACGCTCGGTCGTGCCTCTGTACCCTTCAGACCACGGCAGGTGGTGCCCTGGTTCGCTGCTCGGGGGGGAGCACCTTCTGCCTGTGATGAGGAGGCCGAGGGGCTACACCCCGTCTGCTCAGCCCCGCGGGGGCTCCAAGACGGGCAACGGGTTTTAAGGGCTGGAGCAAGGCCACACCCTTCCTTCTGCGGTCGCAGCCCCCGGAAGGGTCGCTCAGCTGCGTTTCAAACTGCCAACAGCAGTGGTTTCCAGCAGCACGGCGCTGGACACGCGGGAAATACGGCAGAGCTGGAAGCGGGAGCCGAACTGGGAGCCTCTACACAAACCCTGTGATTGCAGGGTTGCGCCAAGCGGTGTCAGACTCGAAACGGGACCTTGTTCCTGCGCTCCGCGGCACAGCTGGAGCGGCTCAGCTCTCCTGCGGTTGCAGGGGAGTGTTCGGCCTTTGTGCCTGCTCCTCCCGCCATCACCACTTCATCCGTCCCTTTTCTTCCTTAAAGGATTTGCTACTGTCCTCCGACCTCCTCAACAGGAGGAAGAGTGAGGATTGACTCCAGGATGCAGAGAGCGGACAGGTTTTAACTAACTAACAGATTGCACCTTGCAAGTAGCCTGACACCGCACGAGTTCCTCTCCAACTCGGCGCTGCCTGCTGAGGGGCTGAGGGAGGAAACGCGTACCACCTGCCTGGGTCATGTGCTGGCTGTTCCAAGCAGGACAGGAACACGCAGACCCCTGGAATTCCTGGATCCAAAGCTGCTCTGAAAGCTTATACAAATTAAAAAAACACTGACATTGGGTATACATGCGCCAGCATCAGCAGTCTCGGAAGCGCTGCATCCACCCACCTCTCCAGAAAAAAACCACGAGCCGAGCCTGCGGATCGCTCCCGTCAGGAAGGGCAGCTCAGCTTACGCTGGGGTGCCGGCCTGCTGGGGTTTTCTTTTAAGGCCCTGAGTGGCGAGACCCGTAGACAGAAAGACAGGCAGCAGCAACGAGTCTCCAGGTAATTCCTACGGGGCTCCAGCTGTTTGAGAGC